AAAATAAAAAGTAAAAATAAATATTCAGGTCTTGGTCTGAGATTATTAGGTCTGATGGTCCCACTATCCTGCTGGACTTTGTTCCCTCGCTGGCCCTACTCACACTTTCCCACTCTCATCCAGCCCCGCTCACTCACCGGTTCTGCTGATCCCACACTCTTGCTTTTTTGGTAGGTCTGTGGGTCTTGATATGATCTAGCATCTGGACAACAGTGATCCCAACATCATTAGGTTTAGAATACTTATGGAAAGGGACAAGGAAGAATCAAAGGTGAAGATACTCAACTGGAAGAGGGCTAATTTCAGTCAGTTAAAAAGGGCCCTAGCCAAGGTGGACTGGAAAGAAAGATTGGCAGCTAAAACAGCTAATGAGCAGTGGAAAGCCTTCAAGGAGGAGACAGTTCAAGGACAGAACAAATACATTCCCACAAAGAGGAAAGGTAGGGCATCCAAACCTCCCTGGATGACTAAGCAAATTGGAATTAAAATAAAACAGATAAAGGAGGCTTATGATAAATGTCAGGCCCACAATACAGAAGATAACCAAATAGAATATAGAAAGTACAGAGGAGAACTAAAAAAGGAAATAAGAGGGGCAAAGAGATTGTATGAGGAAAGATTAGCGGGTAACATAAAAGGGAACCCCAAGGTATTTTATAAGCAAATAAAGAATAAAAGGTTAGTCAAAGGTAGAGTGGGTCCAATTAGGGACCAAAGAGGAAATCTTCTTGTGGAGGCAGAGGGTATGGCTGATGTACTGAATGAATACTTTGCATCTGTCTTCACAAAAGAAGAGGATGCAGCCAATGCCACAGTATCGGTGGAGAGGGTAGAGAAATTGGATAAGATAAGAATAAACCGAAAGGAGGTACTTAAAAGGTTGACGGTGCTCAAGGTAGATAAGACAACCGGTCCGGATGGGAAGCATCCTAGGTTACTGAGGGAATTAAGGGTGGAAATAACAGAGGTTCTGGACAGAGAGTGGTACCAGAGGACGGAGGGTTGAAATGTTACTCCCCTGTTCAAAAAGGGACAGAAGGATAAACCTGGGAACTACAGGCCAGTCAGCCTAACGTCAGTAGTGGAGAAACTTCTGGAGATGATAATCCGGGACAAAATAAATTTTGACTTAGAAATATATGGGTTAATAAAGAACAGACAACATGGATTTGTTGAAGGCAAATCATCTCTAACAAACCTGATAAGAGTTTTTTGATGAAGTAACAGAGAGGGTGGATGAAGGTAGTGCAGTTGATGTGGATTTTCAAAAGGCGTTTGATAAAGTGCCTCATAAGAGACTTATAAGCAAAATAGAAGCCCATTAAAGGGATAGTAACAGCATGGATACAGAACTGGCTGGAAGACAGAAAACAAAGAGTGGTGGAGAATGGTTGTTTTTCTGACTGGAGGCATGTGCAGTGGTGTCCCGCAGGGGTCAGTATTGGGACCACTGTTGGTTTTTGATCTACATAAATGACCTGGACTTGGCTATATAGTGTACAATTTTGCAGATGATACTAAGCTAGGAAAAGTAGTAAACAGTGAGGAGCATAGTAGCAGACTGCAAATGAATATAGACAGACTGGTAAAATGGGCAGACACATGGCAGATTAAGTTTAATATGGAGAAATGCAAAGTGATGCATTTTGAAAGGAAGAATGAGGAGGCAATATAAACTAGATGGCAGAATCTTAAAGGGGGTGAAGGAACAGAGAGACCAGTGGTTTCATATAAGTAAATCTTTGAGGGTGGCAGGAGAGGTAGAGAAAGCTATTAAAAAAGCATACGGGCTACTAGGTTTTATAAATAGGGGTGTAGAATACAAAAGTCAGGAAGTTATGATGAACCTTTATAAAACACTAGTTAGGCCTCAGCTAGAACTGCGTTCAGTTCTGGGCACCACACTTTAGGAAGGATGTCAAGGCATTGGGGAGGCTGCAAAGGAGATTTACCAGGATGGTACCAGGAATGAGGGACTTCAGTTATCAGGAGAGGCTAGAGAAGCTAGATTATTCTCCTTGGAGCCGAGAAGGTTAAGAAGAGACATAATAGAAGTTTTCAAAATTATGAGGGGATTCGATAGGGTGAACAAGGAGAAACTATTTCCACCGGTGGGTGGGTCGGTAACCCGAGGACACCAATTTAAAATAGTTGTTAAAAGAAACAGAGGGGAGGTGAGGAGACATTTTTTCACACAGCGAGTTGTTTGGATCTGGAATACATTGTCTGAAAGGGTGGTGGAAGCCGATTGGACAACAACTTTCAAGAGAGAAGTAGATAATTATTTGGGGAGGACAAGTTTGCAGGGCTATGGGGAGAGAGCGGGGGAGTGGGATTGATTCTATAGCTCTTTTGAAAGAGCTGGCACAGTCACGATGGGCCGAATGGCCTTTTTTTGTGCTGTATAATTCTATGATCATCCAATCCGCTTAGCTCCCACTCGCTAGTCTCACAATACTCGCCAGCATGAAGGCAAACTTTACGGGTCTCACACCCAAAACCCAGACACATGCACCTACCAGCACAGGTTAAACCAGACAAACAAGGTGTTTCCTACACAAAATACACAGTCAAAATGCACTGTATATCCTGAAGTGCCTTGAGACATCTTATTGCGTCAATATCAAATGCAAGGATTATTACTTCAATGGAACATATATATTTAAGACCATTCATAAAAGGGAATTCAGATCTGAGGCCAGATAATATAGCTTAATGATTAGCTAGTGAATTACCCCTTTCACGTTGATGTTGAGTATTTGGAGTTTCACTGTTCTCTTTGCCCCAGACCCCTCCAAAAAAGGGTTAGGCTCTAAGTCAATATAAAATGAGAGCATTGCACATAAACACAGCAGAACTGACTGCTGAGTCCAGTAACAACCTCAGACAATACAGTCCTAAAGAAAAAGCTTAAGAAAGTCATCCAGGAGAAATATCTTCAAAAGAAAAGCGAGGAACACTGGTCTTGAATTTCACATTCATTTAACTCTACAGAAAGATTCTGGCTATATTTCATTGGAAGAGACCTGGAGTAACAGATGCGATCAACAGGTGCTTGATAATACACATTCATTACAGCCAAATGCATATCAAGGAAGAATATGTGGCAACAGATGCTTCTGCTTTTTATATTTTCTCCTAGCAGGATTTCTGTTAAACTGTAATTAATGAATGTGTAGTCTTTTCTAAACAGGCGTTTTGTTCGTCAAACACCTGTCCCTGAATATAAATGTAATTCTAATAGTAAACTCCATTGCTGTCGAGGAGCTGTTAAACAGTGCTCTTATGTCCCCAAACAGCAACAACTTGCAGTTATATAGTGCCCTTCACATGAGGTAGCGTCCCAGAGCAATTTTCAGTGGCAGAGTCTGACACCGAGCCGGGGAGAGAGAGTGGAGAGGTGACCCTAAGTACGATCAAAAAAGAAGGTCTTTAGGTAGAAGTTGAAGGTGAGGAGGGAGGGGGCAAGGTGGAGGGATTGAGGGAGAGAGTTCCAGAATTTCAGGCAGAGTGGCTGAAGGCACGGCCACCGATGGTGGAGCAGAGGGGACGAGGGATAAACAGGAGGCCGGAGCCAGCCAAGCAGAGGCAGCAGATGGTGGAGTGGGGGATAAGCAGGTCAGATAGGTAGGGAGGTGCGAGGACATGGAGAGATTTGAAAACGAGTGAGAGATTCTTGAAATTGATCAGTTTGGCAATTGGGAGCCAGTGGAGCCTGGCAAGGACTGATGTGTTGGGGTAAATAACTTTTCAATATCAGGATGAAGAATAGCATTTGTAAATCTTGTGTAATGTAATTTACACACTACATTTCATCCCCTCAAAAAATATTTAATCAATGCAAATTGTATCTATAGACTGTCTTAAGAACCATAAAGGAATATTAATTATAGAGAACAAGTTTTTAAAAATTCCAACCTATAAACATCATCTGGTTAAGCTTTGCTTGTGGTTGTATTATCAACCATATCATATCATAGATAATCCAGAACTCTGCAGCCCGTGTCCTCTCCCGCACCAAACTCCGTGACCCCATCTCCCACACTCTCGACCAACTCCATTGGTTCCCTATCCTTCAGAGAATCCAGTTCAAGATCCTGGTCCTCACCTACAAAGCCCTCTATGGCCTCACCCCACCCTACCTCTGCGACCTCCTAACCCTCTACCAACCCTCCGCTCAGCCGGTTCCTGTCTGCTCCACGACCCCCGACCCACCCGCCCAGAGCCTTCAGCCACTCCGCCCCCAACCTCTGGAATTCCATCCCCCAGTCACTCCGCCTCGCCCCCTCCTTAGCCTCCTTCAAGTCCCGCCTCAAGACCCTCCTCTTTGACCATGCCATCGGCCCCCTCCCTTCCCTTCTCCCCCCCTGATCCCAGCTCGGGTCTGACATGCTGTACACTGTGCAGTGCCTTGGGACGTCCATTGCATTTTAAATAAGTGAATCTATGTGGATGAATGGCAAGTGCTTTACAAGGTTTGAGCTGAGAGCGAGATGATATTACCTTCCAGTTGATGAACAATTAGATACTGACATTTCAGATTTGTATCTCATGCCATTTTTAAATAGCGACATGGGATCTGATTAAAAAGAACCCTGGTTTCAAGTCTCATCCAGAACACAGTACCTCTGACAATTCAGCTCTCTCCTATTACCACATTCAAGTGTCAGCCTAGACTGTGAGCTCAAATTGTGACATAAGCTTGAACCCGCATCCTTAATCAGAGCTGCAGTACTACCAACCGAGGTGAACTAATACATGGACAGAAATGATGATTTGTTAAGCTCACCGATTCTCTCTCAGCGCTGCTTTCGAATGTCACCTAGACAGAGTTCCAAGTCTCCACGTGGAGCTTGAATCCACAACCTTTTGACTCAGAGACGAGAGGACTACCAACTTATCTTGGCTTAATCCATTTTGGGTCATTTCATAGTTCGGAATTAATTGCAATGTTTAAAACGTACCGTTCTTTGACCACCAGAAACACACAAGTCATTTTGTTAATGTGCAGTAACTTTATTTACATATTTAAGTGGGAAATCATTTCATAGAAATGGTTTTAAAACACTTCTATTACATTTTACATAAATAGTATTTAATTATAAACAATGCTAAACGCGCTCAAACGAGAAAATATTCAAGGTGCTTCTAAAGTTTTATCCAACCACAATCCCTTTGTGCTCAGACTTGGGCTAAGAACATTGTGCTGCTCTGAACCAATTGGTTGCAAGATAATGCGTGTGGAAGAAGGTACAACGCATGTGTCCAACACATGCATTGCACAATAGTCTAACAGCATTTGGATTACGGAGTATTTTTACTCCCAGTGACTATACCCCATCTAGAAAAGCAAGTTTTTATTAAAAAAATAGGTAGGGTAACATGAACACCTCTCTCCCTGTGTAACACTCCCTCCCAGAGACAATAGGAATGTTGCAGATCACCTATAGGTAAAGGACAGGCTGACATAGAATGCTTCATTGCACATATGATGGAAAACTGCAGATTGTTGAGAAAGAAGGTCTGTCAACTAAGCAAAGGATTCAAGATTTCATAATCCCAGACTCTGACCAGCAGAGAGTTAATTCAGAGTGTACAGTATTCCAGAGATTAGACTGTATGGTGTTTCAGAGTCGAAACCTGGCAGGCACAATGCATTGTTCTTTCAACAGTAGATCTGAGCACTTCACTCAGTCTCTTCCAGCAGTCTTTGTAGATTTTTTTGTATCTGAAGTCAAAGAAATAGAATTTTTTAAATGAATAACCTTCTTATACTAGCAGGATGTGCTCATTCATTCACCACAATGATGATCCAATTCTAAATGACCAAATTCATAAAATGCTCATTAGTTAATTCAGAACACTTATTTAAACACAATAAGGACCCTTTCCTTCAAAACAACATGTCATTGGTATGGAGTGTGGGGAAGAGAGAGAAAGAAGGTGGAAGATTTAGAGTCACGTTATTATATTGGCAGAATTAGGGCTGGGGGAGGGGAATTATTTTGCATTTTTTCAACAGATAGTGGCCCTAAAAATGTAAAAAAACAATCACTGTTGGTATGCTTTGATGCATATAAGGAAGAACGAGAGTGAGTAAGTGGTTTATATGCAGGTGTAGTTTCAAATTTGGGTCCACTTTCCATACACACAATATAAATCCTTGGAAGGGTAAGAAAGCTCGTAGTTAGTCACATTACACCAAGCGTTAATGATGAATTTACTCCGTTGTAATGTAGGAATTTTGCCCCACCCTTACTTTGACCTCTCATGTTGCGATGCAGTTCCATCAGCATTTCTCTGCTACTTTATAAGAACCTGATTTAGGATTCAATTTTAATGTAGAAATCCAGACAGCAAGTTTCATCATGAGGGAAAAAAATAACCTTCAAGTTAAATCCTGTTCTGACAGCAGCCCTGAATCACTGAATAGGAGTAATAAAAGTCTAATGGCAGACATTTGAGGCAGATTTCTAACAAGATATCTGAAGATTCTTGGTGGAACATTTTTTTTAGGTTTAGTTAACTATCTGTCGACAGAATGCAAAACATACCCCCTTACCCCTTCAGGAATCTTGCAAATGAATATTCACCATCCTCATATCAGTACATTTTCCTCCCTTCTCTTCCTCCCTTTCTGAAGACAATGACCATCTTTGAAGCACTGTTCAACTGGCATACTAAGCTGTCATGAGCAAGTCTGGACAGATACCATTGGAAGGTAAGTGGATCACTACCAAGATCCAACACATCCTTATCTGACTGTTTATAGTAACACAAGGAGCCAGAATCTTTGGCTGATAGCCTTCCCCCTTCCTAGCTTAAAGGTGCTGAAAGTCATTTTAGGAACCAAATTACTATCACAGCTAACTGCACAGCTCAAGGATCATTCAGGCCCGCATTGTACAGAACACACAATAACTGTAGGAATGAAGTTTTGTGGGAGGCCATCCTGGTTTTATTCATAAGTAGATAGGTTTTATTTAAAAAAAGCAACTCACTTTTTCCAATTTTGCGAGATTTTCCGTTAATTCGTCGTAGATCATGTCAGTATTAACTTGGAGCTGCAGTCCCATGTCACGCCGAGAGAACAAGCTGCACAAATCAGAGTGAAGTATACTTAATAAAAATAATCACTCCTTAAGTATTTTTGTAGGACATTTTCTTGGATAGTTTTAATAAAGTTCTATCAGACTTATTTTTGTGGTGAAACTGAAGTTTTTTTTAAAAACAGAAAACATTTGGTCATTACCAAGTTGCCATATTCAACATTTAGTACAAACTTTTACAACAGAAGGAAATTAAAAAAACACGAGTGACTTTTTGGGGTTTCAGTACTTATCAGCCAACCACATTACATGTACCTTTCTCCTTACCATAAATAACAATTAATCATTGGTAAACAGTGAGAACTTACTATATATTTAATGTTTTGTTATCAAATTGTTTAAACATTGAATTCACTATGAATGCATTAGTGAATATGAATACATTATTTAGAAAGTCATAACTGCTTATTGAGGAACACCACAAATTTAACCTCAGTAAGAACCCAATCTGGGTAAACTATTCATTCAAAGCCATATTCATTGTACATCGTTCAGAAAAAGTGGGCAGGAAGCTCTCTGCCAGTAACCAGAATGGTCATTTGCACAGAATAAAGAAACAATCCAGATAAGCACTTCCACCTTTCTCCAGAAGAGGATCAACTTTTTAGGAATGCTCGGATTACCGCACCATGTAAATACAATGCATTTACTTTTATATAAACGCCTTTCACGTGAGGAGGGCATCTCAAAGCATTTTACAGAGGTGGCTAGGCACCCAAGCTGGAGATTGGGGGAGGGGGGGGGAGAGGGGCAGAGCTGAAGAAGGTGGGGAAGGCAGATGACTGAAAGTGCAGTCAAAGAGAGGGCTGTGAAAGTAGGAGGGTGGGGGCAAGTTAGATATTTACGATGTACAATACTGTATATTGTATAGACTCAGTGCAACAACTGGTTCTAATATGGAGGAGCTATGAGAATTAACTTGTGATTTTCTGTGTGTAGCTGAACGTTTGATTCAGTTCTTTTAAACACTTTTTTAAAAAAATCACAGCTTCATTACAAAGCTTTACGTGCCTCAGTTACTACACTGAAGAGGAAATCCACGAGTCAAGGAAAGTAAATACTGAGGCAGCAGGTTTTAAGGCTACACAAGATCGTGAGATACACATGCGTGAGATACACATGCATCAGTGAATGGAATTCCATAATTACAGAACACAAAATGTCTTGCTGTCTCATGGGAATGATCTACTTTTGTCTACAAATACAGTCACTACACAGAGACATTGTCAAAGTGATAAGGGGCTATATAAATTGCAAAGGTTATTTTCAGCACAGTTTGTACAGGTTGGTGTGATGTATGTACTCCTGATCCCCACTCAGATTATTTAAGGAATCCTTCTTAGAAATTATGGCATAATGCATCAGACAAGAGGCAGTGTTTCCCAAAGCTGCATTTCTTCATTTGTCACATAATATCGCATTTGATATTGTGCCTTATCACATGTCGAGACAAAGATCACAAAAAGCTTCACAGAATTTTACTGTGAAACGTAGTGCTGGTGCAAATGAACACGACAGCTAATTCACACACAGTAGTGACCCACAAACACAAGAGACAACATTCCAGAATTCTAAAAATGAGCACTTAAAAACTGGTAAATCAGTTATGCTCACTTTGCAGTTGGAGGGCAGTTAGTACTAGAGGCCATTAATTTCATGTGAGGCACTAGTCAGCATTGCAATCAAAACTGTTCCAGGGAAGAGGTCAAACACCCCATCAATCCTTATTATTGACCGGACTTACAATCATTCCTGTGCTTTCAGTTTTTAAAAAAGCCTGGTTACAAAAGCAAAACAAAATAAACAGAGGCAGCTTCGCCAACTGGAAGGGAGCACTTACTCTTTGTGATGGTCCTGGTACTCTGGTAACGTTCCCATTGAGGCCAGGCGCTGCTCCAAAGCAATTATCTTTAAGCCCATGTAGCAAGAGGAGATAACCAATATAACAACCCTGTAAAACAGAGCAATCCTCTAACTTTGTGTTGCTTGGTGCAGTAAAATAAACAGATTCCTATGCAACTTTACACATGTTCAGAAGCTATTTAAGTTCAACATTTCACATTTGCAGTAGTAGCTATTGTATCCAGCAACACCTTTTTCTGAAGACCAGATTTATAGTCTGTTCCCGGTTTTAAATCAGCCATCCAGCTAATAACAAAAAAAAAGGTAATTTAGACTATTTCCCTCACACTTGATACAAGACAACAGCCTGGCTCAATTGGTAAAAATCTTGCCTCCATATCGGAAGGTTGTGGGTTCAAGCCCCATATCCCAGAGATCGAGCTCAAAGTCTAGGCTGACATTCCATTTCCAAGGTCGGGCAGCACTACATTGTAAATATGGCTCAAATTGTAGCAGTCTTGCCTCCAGACTAGAGGATTCAAACTCCACATCAAGACCCAAACTCAATGTAGACTGACATCAGATTGTACTGGGCAAGTGCTGCATTTCTGGGGTTTGGGTGAGAAATTTAGTTTCTCTCTGCCTGGATATTTGTGGAGTCCTGTAGCTCAGTGGTTAGAGCACTCGCTTTGCAAGCGAGAGACCTGAGTTCAATTCCAGGCAGGGCGAAACCTTGGGCAAGTTTCCTTACTCCACACGCCTAATAATAATCCCTCCAAAAAAAACAATAATAAATTGGTCATTTTCAATCTACGACTGTTTGTGGGACATTGCTGTGCGCAATTTGGCTGCCGCGTTCGCCCACAAATATACAGTCAATTCACTTTACAGTGTGTTCTGTGAAGCGCTTTGGGACGTCCTCCCGACGTGAAAAGCGCTATATCAAATGCAAGGATTATTATTATTATTATTATTAAAGCTTTTTGAATGAAGAGAACTACTTCCTCCTGCTGTCCTGGAGATGTGCCCTGTTTTTAGTGACCCTTCAAATTCTATTTTCTCTCACACACAGAGACTGTCAGGAATCTTGTATCCTAGCCAGTAAACCAAGACCACTGCTAATTCAATTTTAATAACCATTAATTTCTAATCAGATGATTTGTGGGATTATTCTAATAAAACTGATGTATGTTTGCCATCTCCATTTCCACCAAAGTTTCACTTATTTAAAATGCAATGGATTGACTCAAACAAAGTGGGATTTGGGGGGGGTTGGGGATTTTTCAGGAATCAAGTAAATGAGTGTTACGTTTCCCTCCAACTACGCCCTCCTCAGTTTTGCCAGTGCCAGGATCAAGAACTCCTTGATCAGGTGTGGCAGAATGAATGCCCAATGACTCAACCACGATTTACAGAATCCAGCATTTCCCACAATAGTCATCTTTGTGACCGCTTGGTAGGACTGACCCATTTTGACTAGTTTTGTGCTTCAGGTCTAAGCCTCATCAGAACCTGGCTCGAGACGGTACAAACCACACTGATTTTATAAAGATCCATTTACAACTCCAGAAGGAAATAAAGCTTCATTCCATAGGGGATAGATTCAAAGGCTGAGACAAGAGCTGGAACAGCAACTGCCTAACTTTAATCCAAGAAGCTGCAAAAACTCTGTAGCACCTCTCCAGCTGTATTGCAAAATAAATGAAGATCATACTCACACGATCAGGTAGAGCCCCAACAAGCTATTCACAGAGATGTATTGCAATACATCGTTGGGCTTGGCTTTGTCTGAAACATCCCACACCACTGAATGTTCTGCAAGGAGGAGAAGATCAGAAAGATTTGCTTCATCAAGAAAAAGGGATCACGTACGAGAAGCTATCAATAATTAGGGGTTGGAGGAAAGGAAAAATAAACAGTATTTTAAGGACACAGCAATACTTTGCTAATTGTTCACTCACTCTGAGTTTGTATACATTGCCAATGGCAAAAGTCACAGAATCCTTCAGTGAGATCGAACCAAACTCCTAATCTTGTATGTCAGACATTAATACCTTACTTTGTTTTTAAAAGGAGCACCACGCAAAAATACAATTTGATCTTTCATTCGATGCCTATCATTTGGGGAGCCACTGTTAAACTACGTAAGTTAACATAGTTGCAAAACTCTGAAATTTTTTGATTCTAACTTTCTTGTGAAAGTTGCCTTTTTGTCACATTATCTATGTTTTGTGGCTGGGAGCAAGCTCTTTTGTTTTCTTCAGTAACTGAAGCTGAAAGTCTATACAATGTCGCTTTTTTGGTTCTTTATACTGTTGGTCGCTAGTATGAGTGGGTCAGTCATGGTATGAACTCTGCCCCAGGGATCATTCCCCCAGTATTCTCAACACAACATCTGGTGTAAATGAAACTTAACAATAAAAAGCATCTTGCTTCAGAACAAAAGCTCCCACAGTGCAGCCTGGTGCTGGCATCTATTACAAGTGTGGCCCTTTGAAGTTTCCCATTACTGATTTTTTTTTAAAAAAAATGAAAATTTCAAAACGATTTCATACGTTTTTAAAGAAATGAAATGTATCAAAATAAGTAACCACTGAAGCTAACTTTCTACAGTGCATTTTCTGAGTTTCTTTAAACCAGAAAGTGAGGTTTAAAGTCAGGAATAAGGGGCAACATAAACATCGCTTCATACCACAAAACATCCCGAGGATACAACTCCTCCAAGGAATTCCAAGAATAACCTGCTGACTCAAGATAAGAGCAAAATTCTCCCAAGTCAGTATAACATACAGGATTTCTGCAAGAGATAAGCTTTATGTACTGAAGCTTTTTTTAAAAAAACTGAAATCCCAGAAAATGTATCTTTCAAAGTTTAAGAAACAATTGCCTTGTTTCCTCATTTACATGAATTAGAAAGCAATTTAAATCAGAGACATCTACTCCACATACAAAGGACATCACATACATAGGTGCAGAAACCTACAAACACTTAGCTAAAAGTGAACCATGTACTTTGCTAGACATTAGGTCACATACCAAGACATTAGAGAAGGATGTCTTTCGCCGGGTCCTGGCCAACAATCCCCCAAATAAAATCAGTTATTCACTGAATGGCCATTTGTGAGACATTGATGTATGCAAATTAGCTGGCAGATTCTTCCCAAAATACAGTCATACCACTTTACAGCATATCTTGTTAAGTGCATCGAGATGTTTCCACCTAAGGCATCGAATGCATAAATAATTATAATGTGTATTGTGTAACCCGATTATATACATGGATGAGAGGAAACAAAAAGTGAACTTTTGTAGAAAAGAATCCATTTCGCAATACATGCATCAAGTCACAAGGTAACTAACTGGAAATCATACATAAGAGATAGCAATGTTGAAATGGGTTTTGGGCCGTCCCATTAACCTGAGTCACTGCAATAACATCAGGCTCAGAAAATTCTCTTGAATGTAAAGACTTGGTGAACTCCTCTCACTGAATGAATTGCCAACAGAACTCACTATTCTCGTGGCGAATGTTTCTCTTTGTTTCGGTTGTGTCTTTTACTTGGACATCAGCTGACACAGGAATGTCAACATTCTTTGCGATTTTCAGCAGGGTTTGGGTCTCGGCAATAGACTCTGTTGAAAAAGAGATTCAGTTACTTGTAGTAGCTCATGCTGCAAAGTATAAAAGCTGCATTCGGAATATGTGAAAGATTGCTGCAATCTGGAGTGTGAATTTTGTACAGTTTGTACAATTCAGGGTAGCAATGCAACACACCCAGAGCATAAACAAACAACCCAATAACTTTGGCTGCATTGTTGAATATTCCAATCGCATCTGAGATTACTTGATTTAGAGATCAGACCACTTACGTATCAAGCAAACACTGAACTATCCAACCCTTGGGATGACCCTTTGACATGAAAGGCACAATCTAAATGTAAATTTGTTGTTGAAGGACTTTACAGGACAGTATGGAATACCAAGAAAATTGGAAAGGAGGAAAGTGACTAAAAGGGATGGTCGATTTGAAAAGGGTTTTGAAGACCGGGAGAGAAGGTGCAAGCCAGTGCAAGTTCTGGAGAGCAGGATCATCAGCTAATTCAAGGTATTCAAGCAGTCTTACTAAAAATGGCAGTCAGTAAGTTTATAACTTCAATTATACCTCTTGTGGGTTTCAAGAGGGAAGTGACCATGTACTAAAGATAGAGGCTTTAATGTGTATGGGGATATGGCAAGCAGGATTGAATGAACACCTTGCTTTGAGAGCTGGTGAAAAGTCAATGGGCCAAATGGCCTCCAATTTATATGAATGATCTACATAAATGATCTGGACTTGGGTATAGCAAGCACCATTTCCAAGTTTGCGGACGACACAAAGTTAGGTAGGGTGGTAAACAATGAGAAGGAGAGGAGCCAACTGCAGGAAAACATAGACAGAATGGTAAAATGGGCAGACACATGGCAGATGAGTTTCAATGTAGAGAAATGCGAAGTAATGCATTTTGTTAGAAAGAATGAGGGGAGGCAATACAGGCTGGTAATACAATCTTAAAGGGGGTAAAAGAACAGAGAGACCTGGGGGTGCAGGTAAATGAATCCTTGAAGGTGGCAGGACAGGTAGATAAGGCTGTAAAAAGGGCAAATGGGATTCTAGGCTTTATAAATAGGGGCATAGAGTACAAGAGTCAGGAGGTTATGATTAACCTATATAAAACACTGGTTAGGCCTCAGTTAGAATACTGAGCCCAGTTCTGGGCACCACACTATAGGAAGGATGTTAAGGCATTGGAAAGGGTGCAGAGGAGATTTACAAGTATGGTACCAGGAATGAGGGACCTTGATCATGAGGAAAGGCGAGTGAGGCTGGGATTATCCTCATTGGAGCAGAGAAGGTTACGAGGAGACCTAATAGAGGTCTTCAAAATCATGAGGGGATTTGATAGGTTAGAAAGGGAAAAACTGTTTCCACTGGTGGGTGTGTCGGTGACTCGAGGTCACAGATTCAAAATAGTTTCTAAAAGAAGCAGAGGGGAGGTGAGAAGAATTTTTTTCACGCAGCGAGTTGTTCCAATCTGGAATGCATTGCCTGAAAGAGCGGTCGAGGCCGATTCGATAACTACTTTTAAAAACGCGGTGGACGGGTATTTGAGGAGGACGGGTTTGCAGGGTTATGGGGAAAGGGCTGGGGAGTGGGATTGGCATTAATTGCTCTATTCAAAGAGCCAGCACAGACTCGATGGGCCGAATGGCCTCTTTTTGTGCTGTACGATTCTATGATTCTATGAATTTACTGACCTTGAGAATTTTCAGACTCTGGGGTTTGAGACCCAGAGCAACTGGACTGCTCCAACCCTCGTCTTCTGCGCACGTCCAGATCAGACAGATCTTCAATATTAAAATCCTTTTTTATAATAAAAAAAGGAAACAAAGGGTTATGAATAGGATAAATATTTGAAGGGAAACAATATGTAGGGAAAGAACAGCAAATCGGGTTTAGAATGAATAACTCTAACCCCAGATTGGCTTGATAATTTTTGGGGCATATTCTGACAATCTGAGAAAGCCAGAAGCAGCAGGTGTAACCTGGTACCTGAGCCAGTGGTTTACCAATAAATCACTAAAGCCAACCTTGCCCAGCTCCACATTCCCCAGCGGATCGAGTTCAAGAAATTCATCCTAACCTTTAAATCTCTCCATGGTCTTTCCCTACCCGAACTCTGTCACCTCCTCAAACCTTACCAACCTAGCCACTCCATCCATTCAGTGGCCCCAGCCTGGTTCACAGCATCCCTTGCCCCTCCAACAGTGTTTGGGCTTTCAGCGCATTTGCCCCCACTCTCTGGAAATCCATCCCAGAGTCCTTACAACTTGCCCCTTCCCTCACCTCTTTCAAGGTCTGCCTCAAGACCTTCCTCTAACTGCACTTTCAGTCACTTTATCCCTTCACCCCCCCCCCCCACCATGCATCCCCAATGCGAACCCTGGATTGTTCAATGCCTAGAGATGTTCTCCCTATGTGAAAGGTGCTATGCAAATTTACATTGTATTGGAGTCAGCTAGTTTCAGACTATAAAATGGAGCAGGATCAAATAGTTTTTGTAAGTTAAAATCTTCTTTTAACAATTCTTATCCTATTCTTCTCTGACAATGCAAGCTAAACGTAGGCAGTGTTTGCATACGATACATTCAACCTTAAAGAATGTCTTTACAATAATAATCATCCTTATATTTGATTACTTTTCACATCAGGAGGATGTCTCAAAGCGCTTCACAGGGCATCCTGTAAAGAGCTTTGACTATTTTGTAGGTGAATGTGGCAGCCATTTTGCACATAGCAATGGCCCACAAACAGCCAAGATGAGAATGACCAATTATATTTGGGGGCTTCTGGTAGAAACTCCCTTCTGTTTTCAAAAGTTTTGCTACGGGATCTTTAACATCCACGCGAATAAACAGACGGGACTTCGGTTTAACTTCTCATCTGAAGGACAGCACTGCAGCACATTCCAGCACTGTATTCGAGTGTTAGCCTAGAATAAGTTCAAAGTCCAGACTTGAAACTTGAACCCACAATCTTCCAACTCGGAGGTGAGAGTGCTGAGCCAGGCTGACACCCTAAGGTCACTAATACACATTATCATAAAGTAGCAACTCTTGGCATAGCTGATCAGATGATGAACACGTAGCAAACCTGGAAGTGGAGACCGTGAGGAACTGTGCGTTCCAACTTACCAGAGGTAATGATGTTGGTCGTTCTGTTCGGAAGCTGCTCACAACAGAAGAGGTTATTGTACTGCTATCGTCATATTTCCCCTAATGTGAAACACACAAGATATTATATTTGGTTAAAAACACCTGTATAATTTAGGTGAAAATAAATCTAAAGAAATAGTATAAAATTGAATTCTAGACAAGAGTTAAGTAATGTGAGTAGCTTTATTTAAACCCCTCAGAGTGAAGTTCATGCCGGCATTTTCAATAGCTCAGTGAATCGCTTGTTATAAGGCCAGGAAAGTCTCGGAGCTGATTGTCATCTGTGCTCAATTAGTTCTCTCAGACAGCTTAGCAGTAGTGGTGTGGCTCAATTGGAGTTTGACAAACATAATAATAATCCTTGCATTTGACCTGATCACATCTTTGAGACTCCACAAAGAGCTTCACAGGATATACTGTAAAGTGAATTGACTGTATATTTTGTGGGCGAAACGTGGCAGCCAATTGCACACAGTAGTGTCCCACAAATGGTCTTAGAATCGAACCCAGGTCATCTCGCTTGTGAGGCGAGCGCTCTAACCACTCCACAAACATGAAGCTTCTCTCACTCCACCCCCACAAAAAAAATGTATATTGACTGTCTAATGTACTCATTATTTGGAAAGCAAAGCAATTATTGTTCCTCCAGGTCCCGCCTTCCAGACTTTGGATTTGGTATCAAGCATCTGAACAGATTCATTCCTATAATGTCTACCTATAAAATAAACTTATATTGCGCCTTTCATGTTGACAGGACAATGTCACTCATGCCAACAAGTTGTATCTGTATAAGTTTTATGAAGGCAACAATAACTTCGCAGACCTAGTTACAATGCAACACTAAGCAAACACCTACTGAAATGGTACAGATCGCATAGATGGGTCAAGAGTAGCTCAACACATTGTACTTTCTAAATTTTTCACTAAATATCACAGGAATACCTATACCTTAAGGATTCTGGCTAAATAGGGCAAGATAACGAACATGCTATTGGTGAACACACATAACCAAAACATATTTTTCTCACATCCTCTACCCTTAATTTTAAAGCATACTAACCTCTAGATGCACACATACAGATTTCAGCAGTTTATAGGTTGCATCTCTGGACAGGAACGACACAAAAAAGTGCTGAAAAGGAAGAGTTTAAAAGAGTGTTAGCCAGTCTAAAAGGTATCTAATGAACTCTATCAAGTATTGGCCAGAATCGGTTGGGTTATTTCCATGACTACTTACTTTCTCAAGTTCTGTTGATATGCAGAGAGCATTTGGCACCAGCAAGGCAGTTTTCTGTTTCTTAACTTGAATCACAGTGGAGACGGGTATTGTAATCTGAAATGAAGATTGTGAAAAAAAATTAAAAGTTGAAGTTAACATTCCTAATTGGATATGGTCTTAAGATCTAAACATTAAAATTAAATATCAGAAACAGAACCCACCCCCTCCCCAGCTTTCGAAGACTCCGACATACATACATCTCCACAGGATTCGGTCCTTGCCCAATTCAGCATTGGTGCAGGTGCAAAAAATGTCTTTCAGCTGTACGTGAAACGGATAAACTTCAACAAAAGGCAGAAAGCTTGCTCTTGCTCTATAGTCAAGGCATTTCTACAAGGTACAGCTAATCTTTCTGGCTGGAAGCAGTTTGTAATAGGGTCTATTATAGCCACCATGTGTAATTGCAGAGGGAATTATGAGTATCTTAAGATGTTTTTTCCAGGAGTCTTGGTAACATCAAATAGCCAAATTGCTAAATGAAAATGTTGTGCATCAATGCAAAGCCAGGTATAATTTCAGAAATTAATAGAATACTTTGCATACATCAACACATTGAATGCAAATTAGACCTCCAAAGTAGATTTCAGTAACATTATACCTGGTTCAATATTTTCATATGATCACGTTCAACCTGATCTCCCTTTTACTTGAAGGCAACTGTTGTAGAAATTTTCTACCAAGTGTTGCCAATTTGAATCCCCCTACCCCCCCCCTGAAATAAAATGCAAATAAGCACTCCAAACCTTAATATCTCTGCCAAAGACCTTTGAATGAAAGCAGATCCAGTTCTGAGACACAAAAAGTTTCCCTTGGTACAGGATGTCTTTATGCAAGGCACAAGTGAAACCTACAAAACAGATTAGGGGTTATTTTAAAGTTTTAACAACAGCAAGTAAACCTGCAATTGCTTGGAATTTTCTGAGCCCATTCTCACTTGACCCAATTGGATTACAATCTTCGACTAAACATCTCCTTTGGCCACAAACCAACTTCACAGAAGTCAGAAATCAGACTGGTCATTTGAGCAGTGAGACAGCTGAGCGGAAATATCAAGTCCTACATGTAGCCAGATTAATCTTGTATTTTTCCAAATGTGTCCAGGGTATGCGACCGAAGCTGTGCGGGTGACCATTTCCTATGTAATCAGCAAGTCTACTCTTTGGATGTTCCCAGAGATGCCTGGTCTTTGATCAGCATTAGCCCCAGCTCAGATCAGGAATGCAGAGGAGAATGTTAGCAAGTGGCAGAAAGGAATCCAATGTTTTGCTGCTCTGTGGTTTGGATCTATATGCAAAAATTGTAACTATTTACAAAACCAGAGTTACAGGATTCCATCGTGGGGCAGGTTGAAATCAGTTGCCTGTTCCACTCCCCACTACCCATCTTCACCCCCCACACATAGAAAGGGCAACAACATCTTTAGTTACAAAATCTGTATGGATCAATCGTATGCTACAAGGTTTTTACTACTCACTTTGTTTTAGTACTTCCTCCTTTGGAACATTCTTAAAAAGTTTGTGATACGTTGCATTTGTCTTTGATAGCTGTAAGGGAAAGAAAATAGTAAATGAGACATCTTCCTTCTCCCAATCATGTTTAAAATCTCCCTGGATTAAAAGGGTTACATAATAATAATAATAATCCGTGTATTTGATATAGAGCCTTATCACTTCTTCGAGACATCTCAAAGCGCTTCACAGAATATACTGATTCTATATTTTGTGGGTGAAACACAGCAGCCAATTGTGCACAGCAATATCCCACAAACTGTTGTGGATTGAAGAGATCAATTTATTATTAATAATTTTTGAAGGAATTATTACCCCCGGAAAAGTGACCCGCCAATCGACTAACAACCAGGTTCCTACTTAGTGCTAGGTAAACAGAGGCACGTGGTGTAAGGGAACTTGCCCAACATTTTGCGCTGTCGTGGATCGCTTGCAGGTCTCTCGCTTGCGAGGCGAGTGCTCTAACCACTAAGCTGCAACATCTGGGAAAGTGACAAATTCGGGTCGAAATCAGGTGTGCACACATGTGTGCTAAATGTGGGATGTCTTTGCTGAAAACAATTTTCCAGTTGTAAAACACCAGTAATGTTACCATCTATCTTAGAAGTGTCCCCCACACCCACCACTAATTGACCAAAGAGAGAAGATGGAAATCCCACCTTTCCCAGTTCTCTCAAAGGTGCTGACATACATCTTCAGTCTGTCCTTAGCCAAGTTGACATTGGTGCAGGTGCAACAAAAGTCTTCGATTTGCATGTTAAAAGCAGATCTCAGTCTTGTGTTAACCAAACACTATTTGCATAAACAGACATTGGTCCTGTTCTCATTGGACATCCATCTTAACCAGCAGAGCATAGTGGGAATGGAACCCAGAGATGCTGAAGCCAAATGTACTTGAAATTGATCCGTTCTGTAATAGGGAGTAAGTGGAGCCTGGCATGGACAAAGGTGAGGGGGGAGCAGAGTTTGGCACTGGCAAGAATACTGGCGACAGAGCTATGGAGATAAACAAGGTGGGCATTTTAAAAAGGCAGGTGTTTCAGCTGTGTTAGATGTTAAGTATGGTTGGAGATGGGTGATGTGGCGGAGAAGTGGTCTTATTCAAGGCCTGGATGTGGGATAGGAAGAACAATTGGAGATTGAACCCGATACGTAGGTTAGGCACAGGTTCAGCGAGTCTGATGGATAGGCCAAGGTGTTAAAAGTCAGAGCCATATACCAAACTGGCAGACTCTGCTGAGTTTGTCAATATACACTCACATTGTTGTATTTTCAGAGCATTTTGAAAATTTTGTTTTACATGAAAATTACGTTACAAGTTCTTAACCTCCATCTCCTCCCAAATTAAAGGTTTGAGATAAATGTGCCATCAAATCTAAGTTTATTTTTAAAAGAAAGCTTGATAAAGGTTCACATTTATGTACCAAACATTTATGTGAAGATTTAATGGTACTTCTTTGAGGTGTGTGTATTGAGTCATATTTCATAGCAGTGCCAGTTTAAGCAACATTCACATGATTCCAATTATAATAATCTTTGCATTTGATATAGCGCCTTATCACGTCTTCTGAACTAATATCCGTAGAAATTAAAGCCAGTAATTGAATGGGATTTACTTTAAGTGCTGGAATGCTATATAAATACAAGTTGTTGTTAGATACATGATGATAATAATCCTTACATTTGATATAGCGCTTTATCATGCCTTCGAGACGTCTCAAAGCGCTTCACTGAATATACTGAAAAGTGAATTGACTGAATATTTTGTGGGCGAAACCTGGAAGCCAATTGCGCACAGCAGTGTCCCATAAACAGTCGTGGAATGAAGTGACCAATTTATTATTATTATTTTTTTGAAGGAATTATTGCCCCCGGAAAAGCGATCCGCCAATCAACTAACAACCGGGTTCCTTCTTACTGCTAGGTAAACAGAGGCATGTGGAGTAATGAAACTTGCTCAACATTTTACCCTGCCGGGAATCAAACCCAGGTCTCTCGCTTGCGAGGCGAATGCTCTAACCACTGAGCTACAGGACTCCACATTTATTGCATGGATTAAAAGATTCAATATTTTACAGAGATAAACAGTGCAGAAAATCCCAGATTCCTTTACTGATCTGTGCTGAGTTATATTGCATTTTATAGTATTCCAGCAGTACAATACCTTACCAACCTGTGGAGTTTGTCACATTTACACTTAGGCTGACCCCACCACTCCAGAGAACTGGATATGTGCAAGTTCACACTTGTGTTTTTAATTAAAGACAAGCAGTCCANTTTTTTTCAGACAGAATTTGAGGAGAAAAGTACTCCAGTTTTGTTTTGAATAGCCAATGCTTTCCCATGTCCCCTAAAAATATTCTTTATAGTGCTTTATTACTTTGGTAATTAGATATTTAGCACCAGAAAGCATGGTTTTGACATCTGAATTCAACAGAATCATTTTTTTCCCCAGCCATTCGTAAAGTGTAAAAACCCTTTAATAATTCACTGATATTATTACCTAGCACAAGTTTCTTACAGATGGGCTCGAGAATGAAGCCAAGAACAGGCACCGCATGAAATCTTAACACACGTTCAGAAAAACTAACTTAGGAAAATAAATACTTTTATTGCATGAGGATATTGTGCTCAGCCTCCACACTCTGGGAATTTCTAATCTTAGTCTTTCTGATATGGGAAGGAACAGTAATCACTCAGCCAGTCAGACTGCGAGTAGCACTCTCAGAGGCCAGTGTGTAGGCCCACCACATTAGGGTATACATGATCTGAGAGAGCAGAGATTAGGGGAAGAGTTGAGAGTTATTTAAGAGATCATAAAAAGTTTTAAAATACTCACATTAGATAATGACTTTTTGCGTTCAAGTTTTGGCTCGTACACTGTAGAACTTGTTGGGTACACAGCATCATAAGTCTTGGATCTAAAAATGGAGAGTTTCATATTATATCCAAGCCACTCATTAGCACGTTTGCTCAACCTCTACTAATTTAAAGTGCACAGGACTTCCTTGTTGAATACCATTTGTATATACACTGCTCTATTCAACAGCATGGTATGCAAAGTTTCAGGAATGCAAAACATAATGAAATCATATATGCAATGGGCAGGGTTTCTAGTCTAAATAGGTTGTGAAAGTCTCGACATCATCCCGATAGATATGCAGATTTCCCAATTTGTTTCATTTCCTGACAACACAATGCCTCTGATGCAACTATGTACTTTTCATTGCTGGAATAAACATTGTGCTGTCAATCATCTATGAAATGGCCAGGTATTTCACAATCAATGGAGGCGTGTGGCTACATTTTGCATTTTACTACCAGAATTCTTTAATAAGGAATCCTATTAGAATTCCCATCAACTCCGTAAGTAAACAAACAAAAATTACATTTGTATAGTGTCTTTCATGTTGGGAGGACATCACAAGGCGGAAGCAGAAAAGTCAGAGCAGAGTTCCTGCCTATTGATAAGATAATAATCCTTGTATTTGATATAATAATAATAATCCTTGCATTTGATATAGCGCTTTTCACGTCTTCTCGACGACGCAAAGCACTTCACGGAATATGCTGTAAAGTGAATTGACCGTACATTTGTGGGCGAAACACAGCAGCCAATTGCGCACAGCAGTGTCCCACAAACAATCGTGGATTGAAAATGACCAATTTATTATTGTTTTGTTTTTTGGAGGGATCATTATTAGGCGTGTGGAGTAAGGAAACTTGCCCAAGGTTTCGCCCTGCCTGGAATTGAACCCAGGTGTCTCGCTTGCATGGCGAGTGCTCTAACCACTGAGCTACAGGACTCCGTATATAGTAACTTATCACGTGTTTGAGACATCTCAAAGTGTTTCTCAGAATATACTGTAAATCAATCCGAATTACCAGAGGGTGTGCGATTTGGATTTAGTTCAGAATTGTAAATTAGATCAATATAATAATACCAATAATAACAATAACACTTGCATTTGATATAGCACCTTGTCATATCGTTGAGATATCTCAAAGCATTTCACAGAATATATGGTAAAGTTAATTGACTATGTATTTTGTGGGAGAAAACAACACCAGCAACATCACTACCTCAGGTTAATAATGATTAACTTAAATGTTTAAGTTCCTCTTCTCTCCCCACCCCCCCACCACCAATCAAGTATTGATTTTAAAAGACGTACAAATACAATTTACATTTATATCAAGCCTTTCTTGTCAGGAGGGTGTCTCAAAGTGCTGAACAGTGCTGGCTGAGCATCCGAACTGGGAGTAGGAGCCCAGATGTTAAGATTGTAAGAAGCAATATACATTTATAAACTACAGAGGTATGGGGAAAAGGGAAGAATTAAAAGGATTGCTCTTAACAGAGCCAGCAAAGCCAAATGGCTTTCTTCAGTACTATATATTTCTATGGTTCTACATGGAACATGCCTTTCGTATTCAGTTCACCCAAAGCTTTGCTGCCTTAGAAAAAAGAGCTGACAGGAGCAAGCTAAGATAGGCAGAGATAATAAATCAAATAAAACATTGTTTACCAACAAGCTTGTAAGGGGCTAAACTACCTGCTGATTTCTGCTAATGGTAACAGTAGAACTATGCTGCACTTATTCAACTGCGGCGGGGAAAATAATTAGTTTGGCTTGTATCCCATCCCTGCAGGAGAGGCAAACAAATGGCAGTTGCGAGCTTAACACTGTAAATAAAGCTCCCAGGTACAAGAGTCCATAGCACCAGATGGCAATGCCTCCTCTAGTGCGAGATTCTGATCTTGCACTCTGCATTTCTCCTATGGCTCTATGCCATCAAGTCATTGGAAGCTTAGGGCTCCCTCTGCCTCCTTGTCCTCCTCAACCTCTCTGGTGCCTTCGACACTGTCGACCACTCCATCCTCATACACCGCCTCTCCTCTCTACTCAATCTTCGAGGACCTGTCCTTGCCTGGTTCGATTCCTATCAGGAATCAAGAACCTCGGTGTTCTGTTCAACCCTGAGCTGTCCTTTCTTCCCCACATCCGCGCCACAATTGGCATCGCCTTCCACCACCTCCGGAACATCGCCAGACTACGGCACTACCTCACCCCTCACGCTGCTGAAACACTGGTCCACGCCTTTATCACCTCAAGGCTGGACTACGGGAACTCTCTCCTCGTCGGCCTTCCCGGCACCTCCGTCCACAAGCTGCAGGTCATTCAGAACTCTGCAGCTCGTGTACTCTCCCGCACCAGGCTTCGCGACCACATCGCTCCCACCCTCGCTCACCTCCACTGGCTCCTCATCCCCCAGAGGATCAAATTCAAGATCCTCATCCTCACCTACAAGGCATTCACGGCTTTGCTCCCTCCTACCTCTCCGACCTACTATCCTCCTACTTACCTGCCCGTACCCTCCGTTCCTCTGGTCCACATCCCCCGCCCTAACCGCCCTACCACCGGTGGCCGGGCTTTCAGCCTCTCAGCCCCTAGGCTCTGGAACTCCATCCCCCAGTGCCTTCGCCTTGCTTCCTCCCTTTCCTCCTTCAAGGCCGGTCTCAAGACCTTTCTCTTCAACCGTGCCTTCACCTCCCCTCTCGACTCTCTACCCCCTCCTCGCTCCCTCCCTTCCCTCCCCTCACCCTGACCATTTCCCCCCTGCTCGGGTCCCGACCCAACTGTCCAGCGCCTTGGGACGTCCTTCCAACGTGAAAGGCGTTATACAAATGCAATCTTGTTATTGTTGTTGTAGTACAATGCAGTACCTCAATTGCTGTGTTTGTATCATGCCTTATAGTAATAATAATCCTTGCTTATCACGTCTTTGAGACATCTCAATGCCCTTCACAGAATATACTCTAAAGTGAATTGACTGGATATTTTGTGGGCGAAACACGGCAGCCAATTGCACACAGCCGTGTCCAGTTGTGGAGTGAGTGATCAAATTATAANTTTTTTTAAATACATTTTTCTTTTTTCAAAAAAGGGATTATTACCCCTAGAAAAGCGATCCTTCAATCGACTAACAACCAGGTTCCTACTTACTGCTAAATAGACTCATGTGGAGCAAGGAAACATGCCTAATGTTTCGCCTTGCCCAGCAATCAAACCCTTGCCACTTTTGAGGTGTGCGTTCTAACCACTAAGCTACAAGATTCCACTTCTTAAATATAGCTTTAGAAGCAAATCAGATTGCATAGCATAAGGATTAAGCATGAGAAAAATAGTCAAAGAGGTTTTCCCAAATTATTTATTATAGCAAAGTACGTCACACTGCACAAGATCTAACAACCTGCTTTTCAAGCTCTACCCAGTTTTCTTCCATTTATACCCAAATACAAATTGTGGAGTCCTGTAGCTCAGTGGTTAGAGCACTTGCTTTGCAAGTGAGAGACCTCAGTTCGATTCCCGGCAGGGGGAAACCTTGGGCAAGTTTCCTTACTCCACATGCCTAATAATAATCCCTCAAAAAAAAAATAATAAATTGGTCACTTCAATCCACGACTGTTTGTGAGACACTGCTATGCGCAATTGGCTGCCACATTTCACCCACAAATATACAGTCAATTCACTTTACGGTCTATTCTGTGAAGCGCTTTGAGATGTCTAGAAGACGTGAGAAGCGATATATCAAATGCAAGGATTATTATTATTATTAAATTAAGCAAAACACTTTAACTGGCAATTTGTCCTTTAGGTAACAACAGGTTTGCGAAATGTATTGACTAGCACAAATGGAGATTACTTTTGTTAAATGGACCCATGTCACACTGACCTACACGAACTCCACTCAAACACAATCTACTTCTGGAGTGAAGTTCCCACACGTTAGAGAATTTGAATAAGGNTTTTTTTTAATTTAAAAAATCCCTTTCTTTTAAAAAAAATTGCAGTTTAGATCCAAATTGGTCCATTCAAAAGGCGCCCAATGATAGAAAGACTCCAAATAAGGCTGAGCCTGGCCTCATCCCTTCAATATTGCTATAACATGGAGTGAGTCAGACCAGATGAATGTGGACCACAAGACCAGGAAATGTGTTTCTCTGTAGCTTCACATAATTGAAAGGAAAAACAGATTAAAACACATGTTAAAAGAGTTGGAGAAAAGAACCTAAGAGCAAATTAGTCGCATAGACTCACTCACAAATCTGGAAGCAAGTAGTACAGAGAGCGAAAACTTTACACTTGCCCTCTTTGAATCTTGCTCACTGTGGACATAGTACATCTCTGAGCATGTGCACCTGAGCACAAGTGGAGCTCTACTACCAAGTGCCGAACACAAACATAGACATTAAGAGCTGGGAGTATCACAGGCTTGAAACATAAGTTGTAAAATAGCTATAAAGTCCTATTGACTTTGGCTGTAGAAAGTAACTTTATTAGCATGGGTTTGATTTCACAATAATCTCAAGATAGCTCAAGACAAAGACTAAAAATTTAGCAATGGATTAACTGTAATTACAGTCCTACGCTTTTATGTCGACATCGCAGTGATCGAGCAGATTGCAGAACAAGATTTTAAGTCCTGTCAATCACTGTCAGTTGAGGTGTATGCTGGTAGTTGTAGTCAGGGCACGCACTGAGCAGCTGTACCACAGTTCCCAGAGGAATCCTCCCTTGTGTTCCTTCGCATGTGCCACATGCCGCAAAGCTCAAGTGGTGCGTTTCAACGCTTCATTTTGATCGATAAATACACGTTGGTGACCCTGACACAGCGCGGGGAGGCAAGGGTTAAAACATGTCTGTCAACAGTAAAAAACAATGTTCAACGATGTTTGAAGGACTTGAAAACTTGCCAAAATTCATGTCAATGTCAACATATACGGTAAGTTTAACATGTTCCTATATAGGGAAGAGCCCGGGACTTTAAATATATTTGCCAACATACACAGGATATTGCTAAATGGGTTCAAGCTAAACGGGTTCTTGCATCTTATCATGTCTTATCATGCCTTATCATGTCTTCGAGATGTCTCAAAGCACTTCACAGAATATACTCTATAGTGAATTGACTGTATACAACAACAACAAGATTCGATTTATAGAGCGCCTTTCACGTCGGGAGGACGTCCCAAGGCGCTGTACAGTTGGGTCAGGACCCGAGCAGGGGGGAAATGGTCAGGGTGAGGGGAGGGAAGGGAGGGAGTGAGGAGGGGGTAGAGAGTCGAGAGGGGAGCTGAAGGCACGGTCAAAGAGAAAGGTCTTGAGACCGGCCTTGAAGGAGGAAAGGGAGGAGGCGGCGAAGGCACTGGGGGATAGAGTTCCAGAGCCTCGGGGCTGAGAGGCTGAAGGCCCGGCCACCGATAGTAGGGCGGTTGGGGCGGGGGGAGCAGACCGGAGCCAGAGGAACAGAGGATACGAGCAGGTAGGTAGGGGGATAGTAGGTCGGAGAGGTAGGAGGGAGCAAGGCCGTGAATGGCCTTGTAGGTGATGGTGAGGATCTTGAAATCGATCCTCTGGGGGATGGGGAGCCAGTGGAGGCAAGCGAGGGTGGGAGTGATGTGGTCCCGAAGCCTGGTGCGGGACAGTACACGAACTGCAGAGTTCTGAATGACCTGCAGCTTGTGGAGGGAGGTGGTGGGAAGGCCGGCGAGGAGAGAGTTCCCATAGTCCAGCCTTGAGGTGATAAAGGTGTGGACCAGGTTTCAGCAGCGTGAGGGGTGAGGTAGTGCCGTAGTCTGGCGATATTCCGGAGGTGATGGAAGGCGGTGCCAGTTGTGGCGCGGATATGAGGGAGAAAGGACAGCTCAGGGTCGAACAGAACCCCGACTGTATATATTGTGGGCCAAACACGGCAGCCAATTGCGCTCAGCAGTATCCCAGAAACAGTCATGGATTGAAGTGACTAATTTTTTTGTTTCTTGAAGGAGTTATTACTCCCGGAAAGCAATTCACCAATCGACTAGCAACCGGGTTCCTACTTGCTGCTAGGTAATCAGGGGCATGTGGAGTAAGGAAACTTGCCCAACATTTCACCCTGCCAGGGATCAAACCCAGGTCTCTTGCTTGCGAGGCGAGTGCTCTAACCACCGAGCGACAGGACTTCTATATTTCTCAATGCTACACACCTTAATGAACCTATAGCGTTCAACATGATCGTGGAGCATCAATATAAAGTTCCACTTCAGAGCACATGGAAAGCCCTTTGTCCACTGCCACAAACACAGCCAGCAGATCTCACAACATGTTGTGACATACAATATGTGTGGAGTCCTATAGCGAATTGGTTAGAGCAGTCGCTTCTCCAACGAAAGGAACCAGGTTCGATTCCTGGTTAGGGCGAAAGCTTAGGCAGGTTTCCTCACTCCACATGTCTCTGTTTACCTTGTAATAAGTAGAAACGCGGTTGTTAGTCGATTATCAGATGGCTTTCTGAGGGCAATAATCCCTTCAAATAAATAAATAATAGTTCACTCAATCCACAATTGTTTGTGGGACACGGCTGTGCGCAAATGACTGCTGCGTTACATCACAAAATACACAGTCAATTCACTTTACAGTATATTCTGTGAAGCAATTTGTGACGTCTCAACAACGTGTTAACGCACTGTATCAAATGCAAGGATAATTATTTTAATTATAAAATAATCCTAACCAAAACAGCTCAGTTGCTGCATACAGTGACTCATTCTCTTCCAAACAGTAAGGTTGTAAGAGGATTCGGTGGTGACACCTGTCCAGTTCATAATCAGCAGAGTAGTTTTTTTTCCCTAAACTAACCACTGGCAACAGAGCACCATTGTGCGCACAAAAAAACACCCATTTTTCTCCCACCCATTCCCAGGCCACTGCTGCTCTTGGCACTACCCTGCTCAGTAATGATGGGACCAGCTAAGCCAATATAGTACTAAGGGGGTAAATCTGGCATGCGATGTAATCACAAGGACAGAATGTGTGCAGGCATTTGGTTTCAGGGTTGTACAGTCCTCGGCAGTCCCTTTGTATTTTTACCAGCTTGATCCTCAATGTGGCACCTGTTGTGCTCACTTCCCCCGGACGGTGGTGTTGGTTCCTTGTTAAACTGGCAGTGAGTGGTGTCAGATTACTGTGTGTGTGTATGTATGAATCACCCACAAAAAAAGAAACTATAACCCTTTCAGGACAAGTAACTTGCATGCCACAAACTAACATTTGCTTCAGCTTTATTGGACTGCTGACAGCACAAAACAATAGCAAACTATTGTTACTTGCGGAGAAGATGTCGACCAGTGACCACATTTCACACTGCTGCCATCTCTCAACAAATTGAAGGCTTAAAAAAGTGGAGAGAAATACCACATCCATGCAAACTACAATTATCCAAACAAATACTGGCATGTACAGTGTAAGCTACATAAAAACACTTAGAAACTTGATACAGTCTCCAAAACAGCCAAAAACCAGAGGTCAGAGTACACCAGCACATGCAAATGTGCTCACCACAAGCATAAATAAGTCATGGGACCCTGAGTTCAAATGTGTCCAATTTCAAAAACAAAGCGATCTTAAAGCTGATCTGCTAGTGCCAGGACACTCCCTTGGCCATAATCCAGCTTCACGGATGTAGAAACGGAGATGGGCAGAGTTTCAGAAGGATGACCTCAAGCATATCCTGGTACCTGCAGGATTTCCTATTCACTAATCTTTTGCTAACCTACAAACTTGACATTATCCTTTTCAAACTCAACATTGTAGCATGACTGGATTATGGCCAAGGGAGTGTCCTGGCACTAGCAGATCAGCTTTAAGACTAAGTGACAACAGCACACGTTCAAAGTGGAGTTGCAATGGTCTAGGATCAAAAATAGCAGAATGATATGAAATCAGACATCTATCTAGATCTGATTGCCTCCAACGTAAAGTCCATCCCCACAGCCTACCAGCACCAAGTTGTAATTATGTTTAGGCCAGCACTTGAAGTCACACAACAGTTTGAAGCAGAAATAGACTACTTGTCAATCTGTCCACAGAACTTTCCAATAAGAGTTTTAGGAAGCCACAATATTCCAATTTGCACTATAAAACAAACACTTTGCAATGCTGAATATAATAAAACGCTCTCCCAGATTTTACCCCCTTTCCACTCAAGTCATCTATATACTTTAATACCGCTTGCAAATTTCCCCGTGAAATTTATTTTTAAAATGATTTTTCATTTTATTTTCCAGGAATTGTGTTATTTCATTTTATCACTACAGATGTTTTATTTACATTAATAAAATGCCTCAAATGACCATACAGAAAATCCCTTTGTTAAATTCCCTTTGGGAGAAATCTTTTTTTTCTTGCTTCCAAATTATTTTCCTTCTGCTTCGAACAGGTCCTGGCTTCCTTCCATTGAAAGCCTTGAGGAGGTTCCAAATAGCCCCAACCTGATGGCACCCAAAGGAACCCTCTTGTCCCTAACCCAACTCCTCAAGTGACACCCACCCATTTCCAGGCCCGCAAGCTTCTCATTAGGGCGTCATCGCCTTTGATTGGCCAATTGACCCGTCTTCCTGTGCTAGGTTTGTAATATTTTTATTTTATTTCCTTTTTTACACTGTTTTTCATTTCATGTTTTCATATTTGTGAAATAAACACAGGGCTCTACAAATACCTGCTCTGCATGATGAGTCATTACCTCGGTTAGACAGTGTCTGACACATGCCACCCACCCTAATACAGAGAGTATTAGGCAAAGGTTAAGCCTAGCTCTCGTATCAGCAGGATATTGGATTGTGAAGTGGGTGGGGGAGGCGGAGAAAGGAGGGAAAAAGAGAGAAAAATAAGTAATCAAGCCTGGCCTCCGCCTTCCCACTTATCCATACCATAGCAATTGGGAGTGGAAATACTAGCTTCCCCCATCCCCAAATCTCCTGATTCCAAGAGTTTGGAAGTCAATTGCGGCCACTGGGGGCAGGTATTCTTCCCACTCAGTTCCTGTTAACCTGCAAGCCAAAACTCTAACTAGTAGGGTCCTCCCTGGATAAGCAGCTTGCTGGATATAGTTCATAATGGCAAGCTTTGCAATTTTGGCTGATTAACTTCAACAGCACATCAAATTTCACCAACCTGCACCTAATCCTCTCTGGAATTAAGTAAACACCATACATTCCTCGAGGGAGAGAGTGTGCATACCTCCCAAGACACACAGACCTTTCTGGAGGACCTTTTCTAGTTTAGATACTGTTAAGCATGATGACAGGACACCCAGTTGACCAAAATAAAACTGTTAGAGTCCCTCAATGCTGCCCTGGCTGAGATAAGTTAACCTCAGCACTGAACCAAGATCAAACCTGGGCACCTTCTGCATTTTGGCATGACACCATTGGAAGGCAGAGTTGCTAAAATGTCAGGTTTCTTAACCTTTCTTACCTGGTTAAGGTAGTTTTCTTTTTGGTTTCGAAGATTTCTGCATCCAGATTGAGAGATTGCAACTGTTGGTTGAGCTGTTTCCCAGTCTTCTTCGGTTTCTCTTCCACGATTGCAGTCTCAGGCTCTGAACTGGGAACATATTAAACGTGCAGTCAGGATACTGAACAACAGCAACAACTTGCATTCATCTAGCGCCCTTCACATGGGGTAGCGCCTTGGAACAATCACATATTTGATAAAGCCGCAAACCCAGTTCTGACTGGCACAAGTAAATTACAGTGTTGAGCAATTATAAATGAGAGTTGCCAGTTTTGACAACTTGTTGCTGCTTAAACAAGCCAAGACTCGGTAATCCTAGGTTATTATATGAACACTTTTTACACCAGGCTATAGAATTAGTTGACAAACAGCTCCAGTGGTTTTTGCCTTGACAAATAGGTGTTTTTTGCCAATGCTTTCACTTTGTTTACAGCAAGAGAAAAGCCAAATAGAAATGCATCTTCTCATCACTAAATTTAGGAAGAAAACTACTACACAAGGCATAATTGAACAAGATCAGAGACTTGAAAATCCTCATAATTTTATTTAGTCTTTAAAATAATCAAGAACTGAGGAACATTCTTCAATTTAGTGTTAATATTTGAAAGCTGGTTCTTAAGAACTGCGAAAAAATGGCTTCCAAATCACGATTCTGCAATTCTGTGCAATCTTAAATTTTAAAATGAAATGGTTTTATAGGTTAAGACTGGGTGGAATCTTGAGCCCAAGGAATATATCTTCAAATTTGTTGAGGAGTGGATTTTTCTGGCTGAACAGAAACCAGGAAGCAGTTGGTTCTTACATATTAATCTTTCCCCCATCCTCGCCCAACTTCACTGGCTTCCCATCACGCAGAGGGTACAGTTCAAGATCCTGGTTCTCGCCTTAAAAACCCTCCTCTTCCACCGTGCTTTCGATCTCCCTGCCCTCCACCCTTCCGAACCCCGACCCCCAGCTCGGGTCCGTAACTCTGTCTGTCCAGAGCCTTGGGACGTCCTCCCGACGTGAAAGGCGCTACACAAATGTAATTTTGTTGTTGTTCCATCTCAGATCCCAAATTCAGTCAGCAAGAAACAGCAAAGGAATATTGGTCAGTACCTTTATTCTTAATTAGATTAAGGGTATAGAAACCAACACAAACAAAACATTTGCCTTTTAAATTTGTAGTATTCAACAAGGAATCAGTCGGGCTAACAGAGATTCCTTCCAGTAACTAAACTGTCTTCCTTGGGGATTATCTGGCTGCAGGGTGACATGCTTGGCAATGGAATGTGAGAATCAAGTTAATTCTTTGTGGCCATTTTAGTAGTCTGGTCCCTGAACTAAGCAGGATTGCAGTACTCCAGGACACTGCTGATGACAGACCAACTAGCTTGGTTAGCTGCAAGACTTGGAGGGACAGACCAGCCACTGGGTGCACTCATTCCTCTCACTCTGCACATGTTAACCCTGCAAGCCAAAGCCCCAACAGGTAGTAGGGTGACTCTACCGAGACAGGCAATGGAAAGCTTTTCAGACAATGCTCTCAATGGCAAACTATGTTATTTTAATTGTTTAAACTCCAGCCGAACCCTAACGCACAGACTGGAGTCCATAAGCCTTGGCTCTTGCCAACGTGCTTAATAATCTCTAAAGAGGTTCTGTTCCTCCACAGAGAGGGAGTGTACATTCCATCCAAATTTTCATGTGTAAGTGGGATGTACGTGTGGAACGCTGGTTTGGATACTGTTTTGCTGACCAAAAAAAGTTTGGCAACTAAATATATCCTCCAACATGAGAGGCACTATATCAAATGCAAGGATTATTAATAGTACACCTAGTTTCAGAACAGAGCTACCATGGTCAACAAAAATTCTAACAGGAAGAAATCAAGTTATGAAATATCAAGTTCATTCCCAATGCAGGCATGAGTATTGTAACATTCATAATTCATTTAGTTAGTTGGTACATTTTAACCTTATGGGGAGAAACACCCACACAGAGACACCACCAATTCTCTTCACCACTCTAAATCCGAAACTTTTACTGATTTCTATGCAATTCAATAATAATACTCACATTTTGATATAGCGCCTTATCACATCTTTGAGACGTCTCGAAGCGCTTCACAGAATATACTGTTAAGTGAATTGACTGCATATTTTGTGGGTCAAACATGGCAGCCAATTGCTCACATCAGTGTCCCACAAACAGTTGTGGATTGAGTGACCAATTTATAATTATTATTTATTTTTAAGGAATTATTGCCCCGGAAAAACAATCCACCAATCGACTAACAACCGGCTTCCTACTTACTGCTAGGTAAACAGAGGCATGTGGAGTAAGGAAGGGGGGTCTGGGACCCGAAATGTTAACTCGCTTTCCTTTCTCCATAGACGCTGCCTGACCTGCTGAGTGTTCCCAGTGACTTCTGTATTAAAAATGTGATGTTTTGCTATGTTTTTGTAATGGGGAATCAGATTAAAGATATAGAGAAGAGCACCATTTTTTTAAATCAATGAAAGGAAGGTAAGACCCCAGAATAATTCAGGCAGTCAAGAAATTGCCCCTTACATCAAGATATTGGCATGCAAGCCAATTGCCGTATGCACTGTCAAGTAATGTTAATAAAAGCATCACCAGGATAAATGCTTTCAATAGGCCATTTATCATCTGAATGGTAGACAATATCATGAGGCAAGATAGCAGCTTAACAGGTGCACAAAGTAACATTTTTTCTTGAAGCTATCCTAATCTTCTTTGCATAGTCCGTCTCCTACTTGAAGCTATTCTTAACAAAATTTATTTACTAGCCAGGTAAAGAGAGATTAATCAGGGGCAGAAACTTAAAGTCCAACAAAAATAACAAGGCAATCTTTGACTGGTTAGAAATACAAAGATTATTAAATCTTTACATCTATCTTCAAACCTGGTGATACAGGTTGAAGTAAGTCAACGAGCAGTAGTGGGGAAACCATTGGCTTTTCGAGTTCCATCCAAAAACCTCTTAAGGAAATGGAATTTAATCTGCAATAATAATCTTTGTACTTCATACAACATCTCATCACGTTGTTGAGACATCTCAAAGCGAATCACAGAATATAATAATAATAATCCTTGCATTTGACATAGCGCCTTATCACCCTGTAATGTGGGGTGACTGTGGGTATTTTGTGAATTTAGCAACTTTTAAAAAAAGACAACTACTTCCTCCAGTGTCAGGTCCTACAGTTGAGCCCATATATCTGTGCTGAGAGCTCTATCCACTACTGAGCCCAAAAGATTTTAGTGAGCCAGCCGAGTGATGAAAACTGCCCGCCAGTTTGAGTCACGGGATATCAGCTTTAGTTAGATATCCATAAGTCCTCAAAAAGTGCTGGTTGCATGATTTGGCTCATTATATCATTCTGAAGACACAACTTCCGAGCAGAGGCAGAATGAGCTCACACTGCAAAAAGAAAGTACAGCAATATTCTTCCAAAAAATGCCTCAAATATTCCAAAACAAAGCATTTTGCATTTGTGTAGCTCAGAAGATTTTTACTGAAATTGCACACATTTGCTGTGGGGGAAAAAAATGGTGCAACACTAACCATAAATCTTTCAAATAGCTAAATCGGGAAATGCTGCAAACACTCACATAATATGCAGAAAGCATCTCACCCCAAGCATGCACAGAGTTAAATATTTCTATCAATAGTCATGATTAGCCTAAAATAGTCATTTTCCTCTTAGCAATCAGCTCTACCTCCCTACTCTCCCCACCCCGCCTACAAACAGAAATAAACAGAACCACTTTATAAAAGTTTCAATTATAATACTGCAGTTTGAAGAATGGCAATTTGAAGGAACTTTTGTACATGGAATTCCCTGCAGATGTGCATTATGCCCAGGGGTGGGGTCCCATTAACAGTGCTATTTTCCCGCCTAGCAACTTCACTGACTTGAACAATGCTCTCTGCGATAAATTAGAATTGGACTAAAACTAAAACCGACACAGACACGCACAGACACACACACACACGCAGACACACAGCACCTTCAGTCAAAAACATTCTTCTGAACCAATCATGAAGTTAAAACCACTCTGAGATGCAGAATATCACTTTAAATCTCATCACTTCAAACAAATTAAGCTCTTCATTGAAAGTCTTTTGTGCAGGTTAACACCCAAGTTCAGAAAGAGAAAGAAAGAGAGCGAGAGAGAGAGAGCGAGCCCTTCTGGTTTGAACAACAAATACCTCACTTTCCAGACAGCTACTTTAAAGTCATGCTTCACTTAAATTGCTAAATTCACAGCGGCCGACTCCATACACTGCAACACAATATAAAGAAAAGTTCCCACCTCCCCATGTCAAGTGAAGTTGCTCCTGTTTCAAGGTCTTTTAAACCGTTTCGGTGGAAGTTTGAATGTCTGCTCACTTCCTGCAACACTGTAGCATCACAAAGCAGGCTTGTAATTTGATAGCATCTGACACATCCTGGTTCACGCCAGAGAGGAAGGGAAAACCTCACACCGTTCTGGTCACGCGAGTTCTCTCAAGCAGGAAGTAGATAAATGAACAGATGGGCCTGGGGCAGATCTTATTACTGGGTACCCAAACGTGCAAAATCGTCAACAGTAACAAAGTATAGATTAAGTTCGGGTGCACATGCGGTGATGGGTCAAGGCTACAATTCTGCCATCCAATGCGTCTTGACCGGTTGCTGCATGCACACTTACCAGCAAGCAATGGAATCGCAGGAAACAAAGTTCTTCTGCGCATGTGTTGATGGATCAAGACTACACGAGAGTTTTACTGGATATTAAAATGCAAGGATTATTTGTATCTACAATATTCATACAGAGGACAGAGGAACACAAACTTAAAAAAAATTCAGCGCATCTTTGTCAAAAAGCAAAACTATATTCATCTCCATCCAAATAACAAACTTTAAGGACAAGCCATCAAATCTCAAGCATCTACTGAAATACAATCTCAGCCATGAATCAGTGCAGGGGGAAAGCGCTACTATTAGCTTTAATAGTAATGGAAATCCCTCTCATAGGATTCCCATTACTTTTTGTGACCAGCTCAAGAAAGACCACCTTCCTCCTCCTCCCCAAAGACA